GCTGTATTATTAGAAAAACAGTCAGCTGCTGTAAAAAAAATGCAGTAATTTTTACAGCCATTTGTTACAGTGTAAACCTGGCCCTTAAATTTATTAACATCTATCCCAAGCCTAAACCCAGCCCTTACATTTATTATGTCTACACCTACCCCAAGCCTAAACCTGACCCTTAAATTTATTACGGTCTACACAAACCTCAACCCCCAACCCTAAACCCAACTGTCACAATAGCATGGGCATTACAATGTCCACAACATATTGGACCTGATCCAGTAGGCCATTGGGCTACAGACTGCAGCGTGGACATCTTGCCAATCTTTAGGTCTGGTGGAAGCACCTAGCTTAAATCATTCGATGAGATTAAACAAGTAACATCTCACTCAAATTTTAGAAGTTTAGATCATTTTTTATTTAAATCTTGACTCTTCTGTAGATACAGTGTACTAAGACAAGTTGCTTTTGTCCAGGGCTAGGAAGTATACTCCCATTTCTGGCTGTTACTTAGCTGGAAACTGTTTTCAGGTGCTGCATAATATCATTGCGCCTGCTGCAGCAAAGTTCCTCAACTGTTATACCAGAACGAGAGTATGGTTCCTAACCATATCGACCTAGAAAATGCCTCTAACCAGGCACAGTCAGTAGGGACTGTGTAGGCTGATTGGGAGAATGCATCCCAAACAAAACAGTCACAGTATGTTAAAGTGTAAAAAGCAATGCAGACAGAATGCTAACGTTAGATTACCTGTTGCTTTTGTCTGTGGCATTGTTTTTCGGCTCAGCCTTGTCATGGGTGATTTATTCATCCTTTTTGCTGTTTCAGTCACATCATTTGCACATCTTTGTTATTTCACAAAACACTAGACGCACACTGAAAAGCTTCGATTATTACAGCATCCTCAATACTTTAGTTGTTGAACACAGCTTTAGAATGCAAACAGGAAAATGTCCCAGGGGGGAAATTGCTTCTCGAATAGAATTGATTTGATTTTTGTTCCACCAGCACTTTTCAATTCATTTCAGTTTTCATAGTGGAAAGCAGATGTCATACTCTTTGCTGTTTTAAAAGAAAATAAGAGATGACGCGACTCCATCCTGACTTTTATATACGAGTTCTGAACCAATAGTCACCTGTAGTGTATAGGGCCAACAGGAGGTGCTCGATGTTTTGGTCTTACTTTTTAGGACCCATGGATCAGACCTTTTTTCTTGCAGAAGTTCTGGACTCATTTACAGCCTTTCTTTACCAAGGACCACCCGTGTAAAGCAAACAATCAGAGTTTATTTTGTTCAGCGTTATATTCTGAGGCATGACTTGAAGTGTCGCTGCACATACCAATCAGTTTATGAAATCAAATATGCCACAAGCGTGACTAGAAAGCTGACAGCTCTATAAACCCAGAAGTTGACATGACATTTGAGGCTGAGAGTAAGTAGAAAGTGCCAAAATGTCATTTCACCCTCAGTTTTATAATCCACCCTTTTTATGTTGTTTCACTACTGTGGTTAAGAGTCTACAGCAATTACTCCTGAAGTGACAGAAGTGGGCCATCAAGAGCAACTTCTTTTAGTCTTTGAATTTGTACAGCTTTAAAATTGTGGCCATAAACTCTCTAAACTAATGAAGCTTACGTCGGCATCTCAGGCCATATTATTAAATCACTATTTAAAATTATCTTGCATTTTCTTTTTCTTTTTTTTTTGATCATCAGAGCTGTTGGTTAACCATCCCTTTGTTTTTTGTTTTTCTCTTTCAAAATATGTGTATATATTACCCCAATACAAGAGTTCACTCTTCGTGATACTTGACTAAGCGTATTTTGGCATACTGTCCCGGGAGAGAGCCCTGAGCTCTGAAGATCCACAAGCATGGGACTCCCTCTGGTTAGACAGGAAGGAAGTCTGAACTAGGTAGTTTTAAGAACTGCTCTTGGAGTAGGAAGGAGACAGGGTGGTAAAAAGGGGTTAAGGGAGTTCGTCGAAAAAACAAGAATGACTAAGGTAAGGAAAGCAGACTATTTATATGCATTTGAATGCATCAGATTGGTTGGTTAGTGATTGATGATGCAAGACCAGCCGTGGTCAATCATATCGAGTTTTGATCCTCTCGAAATTTCTTTATTTTACTGATTTTTTTTTAAAGTCTGTATTTATTTAGAGTCTGCATGCATTCTCTTATGTAACACTAAACTGACACTGACAATAATACAGCTAACAAACGGTTAAAATTATGCTAAAATGATGCCTGGTCTAATAATATGAAATACTACGAAAGCTATAAAGCTCATTGATGGTTCAAAGATTGGTCACAACAAGATTAATTTCATTCACTTATTTTTATTTATTTTTGCCATTTTATGTAGTGATACTTTAAGTACACTGTCAGAGTGAAAGACAGAGTAATTTAGTGTAAATATTAGGGATGCTTTGATCAGGGTTTATGATCGGCCGATACAGAGTAATGATTCTGATGCTTTAAGCTTTATAATACTTAAGTGGAGTTTTCTACACTTATACACTTAAGAGAATAAATTAAGGATGCTGCATATAATCTCTTAAAATGTGTTATGGTCAGAAGTAGCTTGACAAAAAATAATAAATGGCAGAGATCTTTAAAAGAAAGAAAAGGAAAAATAAGAAGTTTATAAACAAGTTTAGAACAAGTTTATAAAAAAAAAAAAAAAAAGATTGGAAGGCAAATTTGATGCATAAGTTAAAATGCAAACCTATAAATCTACTATTTACCAAAAGGAAATAGGTCTACTGTTTATTACAATAAGTATATTACAAGAAGTTATATTATTAAATATACATGTTAAAAACATAATTATATATCTAATATTTCCAGCCAGTTTAGTAAACTTACAATATTGTCAAACACAGAATTTTCAGTTCTTATATGTAAAAAGGCCTGCAAGGTCATTCAAATATTTCGCTCATGAGATCAGCCATGATCAGTAAGTACTGATCGAGTCATTAAATGTGTTTACCAGCTGATACCGATGAAAGTGATCATACATGAAACCCCTGAGATCAGGACAGGTATCTGATGTTAATGTATATTAAAGTGATCCTACATGAAACACCTGAGATCAGGACAGGTATCTGATTTTACTGTATATAATATAAAAGTGATCATACATGAAACACCTGAGATCAGGACAGGTATCTGATGTTAATGTATATAAAAGTGATCATACATGAAACACCTGAGATCAGGACAGGTATCTGATGTTAATGTATATTAAAGTGATCATACATGAAACACCTGAGATCAGGACAGGTATCTGATGTTAATGTATATAAAAGTGATCATACATGAAACACCTGGGATCAGGACAGGTATCTGATGTTACTGTATATAATATAAAAGTGATCATACATGAAACACCTGAGATCAGGACAGGTATCTGATGTTAATGTATATAAAAGTGATCATATATGAAACACCTGAGATCAGGACAGGTATCTGATGTTAATGTATATAAAAGTGATCATACATGAAACACCTGAGATCAGGACAGGTATCTGATGTTAATATATATAAAAGTGATCATACATGAAACACCTGAGATCAGGACAGGTATCTGATGTTAATGTATATTAAAGTGATCATACATGAAACACCTGAGATCAGGACAGGTATCCGATGTCAATGTATATAAAAGTGATCATACATGAAACCCCTGAGATCAGGACAGGTATCTGATGTTACTGTATATAAAAGTGATCATACATGAAACACCTGAGATCAGGACAGGTATCTGATGTTAATGTATATAAAAGTGATCATACATGAAACACCTGAGATCAGGACAGGTATCTGATTTTACTGTATATAATATAAAAGTGATCATACATGAAACACCTGAGATCAGGACAGGTATCTGATTTTACTGTATATAATATAAAAGTGATCATACATAAAACACCTGAGATCAGGACAGGTATCCGATGTTAATGTATATTAAAGTGATCATACATGAAACCCCTGAGATCAGGACAGGTATCTGATGTTAATGTATATTAAAGTGATCCTACATGAAACACCTGAGATCAGGACAGGTATCTGATTTTACTGTATATAATATAAAAGTGATCATACATGAAACACCTGAGATCAGGACAGGCATCTGATGTTACTGTATATAATATAAAAGTGATTATACATGAAATCCCAGGGATCAGGACAGGTATCTGATGTTAATGTATATAAAAGTGATCATATATGAAACACCTGAGATCAGGACAGGTATCTGATGTTAATGTATATAAAAGTGATCATACATGAAACACCTGAGATCAGGACAGGCATCTGATGTTACTGTATATAATATAAAAGTGATTATACATGAAATCCCAGGGATCAGGACAGGTATCTGATGTTACTGTATATGATATATAAAGTATTTGACACAAAAGCCCTGGGATCGGGACAGGTATCTTAAGTTATAACAGTATTAATGTAATCTGAGAGGTATCTTAAGTTAATTTGTTCAATATAACATACACTGACTTTACATGAAACACCTGCGATCAGGAGAGCTATTTTGTACTGCATATAAAAGGCATTGGACACGAAACCCCTGCGAGGCTGTTTTCACAATCTGCGCATGATCCGTGACCTATGCAAATTCAGATAGGCCACGCCCACTCGATGACGTAGTAGCGGTTACGCTGTACTGAAACCCCTGGAAAAAAGTGTCTGCCTTATATTGGTAGCACAGAAGGCCGGTATTTATGATGCATTTGTTTTAAATATGTCTTTCAAATACAAATAATATTTTGTCATTTGTATTTAATAAATAGTAAATATTCACCAATAAATTTGATTAAAAACTCAAAACCATTTATTAGCAGATGTATTAGCTTCTTTATCAGCTATCACAACAGCGCCACCATATGGTAAACTAGAGTATGACATGAACACAGAGCTTTATCATTTAGCATCATTTTTAGGAATGTATATCATTTCAATACTAACAAAGGACATAACACCAAAGTAAGTTGTAATAGAGATCTCTTTATTATAGTGCATTTATCAGATGTTACAAGATGGGTTTTAAAAAAAAAGAAGCTAAAACAAAAACCATTTCAGTAAAAGAAAACAAAACATATGCACACGTTCCTTGCTCCTATTATTTTACAGAATTGTTGAAATTAAAGCTTCACATCTGAACATAGGATAGCTAAATGAAATCTGCAAGCTAAATACATTTTCATACTTAAGTTCATACACTTTAATTACTTGTCATAGATGATGCTTATTCAAATAAATCTTTCTACTACAGTAGATCTGTATCATAAGAACTAAAAGGCCAAGAAAAAAACAAATTATAAACATTATTAGAGTTATGAGACATGAATTTCGATGACAGACAAAGGGGGAGGAAAACTAAACTAACCAAATGCATTCATGTCACTATCAAGTTTCACACAAGGTAAAACGTCACCTATTCCCTTGTGAGAGGTCAGTAAAGGATTAAACCACTGGGATCTTTACAGATGCTGCATTCAACACTGCAGTTGCCTTTGGAATATGAAGAAGAGGAAAAGAAACAAACAGGTTTGTCAGTTTTGGATTATTAAAAGAAGCGTGTACACGTTCCCAAAGCAAACATCTCTTTGCTGGTGCTTGTTTCTATCAGTGACACTTTTCAAAATAAACTGGTGCATCAGGTAGAGCAGCCATCGACGGATGGAAATGAGGAAATTGTGAAATATGGAAAAGGGAGGCTGGCTGGATAAGTTTGCATTTTAACCTAAAGCTGTTCTAAAATTCTCTCACTCAAAGAAAATCAGAAACAACCACTTAAGCTTACAGGCAAGTGTGCCATCGATCGATCATGCATCTCGGTTTTAGAGATTACAAAAGGGAAAAAATAATGCATCCTAAAAAGCCCTTAGTGGCCTCACCTGAACGCTCATGAGATTCTGACTGTACATATGATGGAGGACACCTCGAAAGAGACCGCAATAACAAAACAAAAAAAAAATAATTATCACATCATCAATAAAAATAAAGAAAGAGAGCTAAAAGAAGGATCACTGGAGTGGGAGCAGCTCGCGAAAGGCCTCGCTGCTCCAGCAGAAGGCGCTCACTCCCTCCATACTCCCACAAACACTTCTGCAGCCGCCGCTTACATGCCAATCCAAACACATGTAAGGCTGTTATTAGTGCCTGGGATTTGATTGGATGATCTGATACTACAGCAGACACACAGGGTCAAATGATTTCTTCCCCACCAGTGATAGTTTAAGACGTCTTTCAGTCCAACGAAATGTTTCACAGGCAGTAGAGAAATCGAGCTGACGTTCACATGGAAAGCATCATGTGACCTACCTGAAAGCGTTAGCATGATTTTCAAAGAACGCGAAGAAGAATGGATGGAAAACAGAATGTCACTTTATTGTCTGATTTTTGTTCCTTCTTTTATTTTCCCAACCTGATGCAGGTTACAATGAGTTTTATCAAATGTGGGGGTCAAAGGATGGCAACTCACACCTTGTAACATTTTTTAAGTCATGCGTGATTGCTTTAAACATTGGGAAAGGGAAGAAAAATCAGGCCTATAATCTGGTTTCAGTGTATTAGGTAACAGAAATATTTAACATCCTGGGTCATTCTTTGCGTGCAGAAAACCACGGGGAGAGGAGAGAGAAGAGAGAGAAAGAGAGAACCATGCTGTACGCTGAGTGTCTATTTTGAAAAGGCACAGCAAGGCTACTCCCACCCTCAGTTCACACACACACACATGCGCACACACACACGCACACACACACACACACGCACGCACGCACGCACACACACACGCACACACGTGTATTTAGACAGCACTGGGCAGAGTCTCTGACGTATACAAGACTGGACAAGAGAAGGAAATGAATAAACTGGGCAACCAGAAGAGACTGAAACCAGTGCTATCGCCTTTTACATACACTCATACACACACACAGCGCTGACAGAAGAAGAAAAGGTGGAATGGATCATTTAGCGTTTTTGAGCTGGTTAGAGAGCCAGTCAAGCCCTTCATAAAGGCCATCACCGCTAGTGGCGCAGGTGGCCTGGATGTACCAGTTACGATGACGCAGGGAATGAAGGCCCAGCTTATCTGTGATCTCAGCTGCGTTCATGGCATTGGGCAGGTCCTGTGGCAAAACAATTGACAAGAGCAATGCAGTCAGATACTGAGCTTCCAAAATATATTGAACTTTGATTTGATCAGTACTGAATCATAAAAAGCAAGATGACTTTATGGCTATTTTACTGGCCGTAATAAAATGTGTATAATGCAGGCATCAAGTTTATATCACAGTGTTCTGATGGACTAACCTACTCTTGATTTATTTTCATAAATCAACAACACTAAAAACATTAACAATGCAAAAGCTCAAAGAAAGTCTGATTAATCTTGGTTAATAACAGCATCGACAAACTGAATATCTTACATTTTTGCCATGCTAAAGTTTAAGTCTTTATTTTTTATTATAACTAAACTTGTATTTACTTCACTTAAATTACATCCAAAACAGTAATATTGTTAATTATTAGGGGTGTAACGATTTATCGTTGTACGATTTATTGCGAAGCAAAAATGTCACAATATGCATCATGGCGTTATGACGATTTGACTACGATATGACGTCCGTTTTTCTTTTATTAGTTGAGCTGTTTGCACGTGAGCTACGTTCCACCTGCTGTCGCACGTGAGTTCAGATTGCAGCAGCAGTAATGTTAGCAGACCAAGATGAGTGGAGCTGAAATAGAGGATGGCCCATCCTCTCAGAATCAGACGTCTGGCAACATTTCGGTTGTACAGTCATTGCTTTAGACTCGTCCGCTTTTTGACACGCATACTGGGTCAAACAAGTTTTAAAGTCTTCACAGTGATTTACATACTTTGCACAGCGACAGGGATACCTTCTAATGGTGTTGAAAGAGTCACATACTGTATTTATAAGGTACAATTCACCATAAAATATCATTCTGTCTTCATATAATGTTCCCGCCGCAAAATCACACATGACGTGAGCTGACCGTGAGCTGTTACTACAGAGGGCGGACTTTAATAGACGCGCGTATGGCAAGCCGTTTTAGCATTTAAACCTTTGTTCTGACTATCCATAAATATATTTTGAGATATCTCTAATTATATTTTGACTAGTCATAATTATAATTCGACTAGTCAGAATGACAATTAGAGATATCTGCAATTACAATTGTACTAGTACGAAATCAGATTGGCGATATCTGCAAATATATTATGACTAGTCATATTCCTCCATTGACTTACATGGGAGCATGGGAACGATAAGCATATTCGGTATATCATTATATCCATATTAGGAGTCACTTAGGTATATCTACACTTTTTTGGCATTGAAGATTAAGACCAGCAGTGGAGTGAGATAAAGTATTAAAAAATATTTGCAGATATCTCTAAATGGGTTTTGTAAAAAGTAACTGTAATTAAAAAAACAAAGATAACTTATTTTTGCAGAATTTCTTTCAGTCATGCTGCCTGATTAACCTCACTAGTGTGAGCATGGGAACGATAAGCATATTCGGTATATCATTATATCCATATTAGGAGTCACTTAGGTATATCTACACTTTTTTGGCATTGAAGATTAAGACCAGCAGTGGAGTGAGATAAAGCATTGAAAAATATTTGCAGATATCTCTAAATGGGTTTTGACTAGTCACAATTGTAATTAGAGATATCTCTAAATGAATTTAATTAAATATAAATTAAATACCTGGAAATGTGGATTTTTTTTTTGCACACACAAAAAATGCAAGTGACCAAGCAAAGCCTTAAGCTCTTACTGTTAAATTCAATTGAATAGAAAGCTTATTTTTTTTGCACCTTTACTTAAATTGTTCCTTAATTTTGTCTCTGTCATTTCAATAATATTTTTAAGAAGTTTTTAAATTGTTTTATTTTCCAGAGACAGGCCTGTTTAATTTATTTTCTTAAAGAAGGTTCAGTTTAACAAGTTGAAACAAAAGAAATACATAAAAATAGTTTACTTGGTAAAATTTGCATTTCAGTTTAATTTTTATTCCAAATATCGTGATACATATCGAATCGTGAACATTATATCGTGATACACATTGTATCGTGAGCTGAGTGTATCGTTACACCCCTATTAATTATTACTGCTCATTTAAAATAATTGGCTTCAATTTAGGGCTGAACAATATATCGTTTTAGCATCAACATCACAATGTGTGAATGCGCACTATTCACATCCCAGGATCTCCAATGTGGAGTCAGGATCGTAGTGTTATGGAGTGATTTCAATTTAACCATAAAAGCGTGAAGGTTTATTAGTTATTAGATGAGTGGGTGTTTTAAGGTCAATGACTGAGTAAGCATTTTAAATTAGTTAAAAGCATTTAGGCACAAGTAATTATCATTGCTTTAACAAAAATGTATTTTTATTTAATAATGTATATAATGAAGACTACACAACTTTGATTGTTTGGTTATTTTATTTCTGTACCTGAATACTGTTAGACTCTATTTATATCATTGCTCAACTGTATTTATGCTGGTAATTAGTCTATTATATGTTCAGCAGATGCACTCCTCTACAAAACCTTCCTATTCAATATAAATCTATGAATTATTTGAAAATAGAGCTATTCATGTTATTTTTAAGAAATATCGTAATATAAAATCACAGAAAATAAAAATATCGCAATGTACATTTTTTCCAATATCGTGCAGCCTTGCATTGTAAAAAGTAACTGTAATTAAAAAAACAAAGATAACTTATTTTTGCAGAATTTCTTTCAGTCATGCTGCCTGATTAACCTCACTAGTGTGAGCATGGGAACGATAAGCATATTCGGTATATCATTATATCCATATTAGGAGTCACTTAGGTATATCTACACTTTTTTGGCATTGAAGATTAAGACCAGCAGTGGAGTGAGATAAAGTATTAAAAACCTACAACTTTTAAAATTAAGCACAGTTTCTTTACAAATTTACTTCAGAAGTGAGTGACTTTCTTTAACCAAATAATTTAATTTTAGATTAGATTTAACTTTATTGTGATTACACATGTACAAGCACAAGGCAACGAAATGCAGTTTCGGTCCGAGAATATACAGTAGGTAGGTATATGTAATAAAGTGCAAATATAGAAAAACCATGATTATATTTATAGATTAATGTGCTATGAACATTATATACAGGTTGCATTAATTATGATCAGAGATTTACAATAGATGAATATATGTAAAGGTTGCTATTAATAATCAAAGGTATGCAGATATGAACAATCACAAATGTATATGTAAAGTGGGTATGGACAATTAAAGATAAGTTAATGAAATGAATACGTGCAATTTTAATGTAATTAATAGGTTTTTAACAACAAAAAAAAGATTTTAGAAATGTGAAAGTTGCTTACCTGTTTGTTAGCAAAGACGAGCAACACAGCATCTCTCAACTCATCCTCTGCCAGCATCCTTGTCAACTCCTCCCTCGCCTCATTCACTCTCTCCCTATCATTACTGTCCACAACAAAAATCAGGCCTGTGAAAGAGACAGTGGGAGACTGAGTAGGTGCTTGTTACCTGGGTTTGTTTGCATGTGCGTGTGTTAGTGTGGACACTGACCTTGCGTGTTCTGGAAATAGTGCCTCCAAAGCGGTCGGATCTTATCCTGACCGCCCACATCCCACACTGTAAAGCTGATGTTCTTATACTCTACTGTCTCAACATTAAAACCTGCAAAAAGAGAAAAGGGGGGGGGGGGGGGGGAAGAGTTAAACACTGGCTGAAAAACGCAGGGCAGACGAGATGAGGGGGGAAAGGGTATGAACTTCTTGTGTCTCTTGCTGGCGCCTCACTATAATAACACTATAGCCGCCTGAGAGCAGAGAATATTACCATAAAACACAAAGCAGAGAAATAGACAAGATGCATGGATTAGACAGGAAAGGGGACTTTTAAAACATTAAGAAAGTTTAAATTGCTGTACAACACTGGGTTAAATAAAGGTTATCAATTAATTTGAATATAATGTCGTTTCTTTCTTTTTTTTTTACTTTAATCAAATGTTCTGCAAGTTTTCAAATAGATAGGCTATGATTTTACCTTTACTCTTTAACATTGTTCAAAAAATTGGGCAGCATAATATGCAAAACAAGCATATTTCTTTTAAAATGGAGATGTAATGGAAAGAAAAACAGTATGCAAGGATCACAGACCAATAGTGGGGATGGTGGTGACGATTTCTCCCAGTTTCAGTTTGTACAGGATGGTGGTCTTTCCGGCAGCATCCAAGCCCACCATCAGAATTCTCATCTCTTTCTTCCCAAAGAGATTCTTAAATAGGCCTGCAAACATATTCCCCATGATGGCAGATCTGCAAAACACAAAAGAGCTGATTATAGTAACTATAATGTATGTAGTACAGTCCAAAATTAACATTAACTGTGCTTAGGACAGAATATAGTGTCACATTAGTGCACTGTACACTTTTCGTTTTGGTGTTTTGTTTGTCATGCTTTTATGGCCAGTTTCATTGAGTGTTATAGGACAAATTTTTGTCCGTTTCCACTGTCAAAATTACCAAAACAGCAAAGAGTATGGCCTCAAATGGGTGGAGCTAATCTTGCGGCTGAACGCAAGTGGGTTACAGAATAGTGTCACCAGTGTGCAACAAACCATGAAAATGACAACACAAGGCAACATTTTTACAAAGCTACATTTTCAAACATACACCACTGAGACATTACCACATAGTACAATGACAGAACGTACTAATACACCATGATCAACCCGAGCACAAACAAAGCTCATCACTTTGTGACAAACAGCCACATGCTGAGAAGTAAGAACAGATTCTGCTGTATGTCCTCTACTGTTGTTCATAATGCCATCTAAAACATTATGATTATGATGTTATTTTATTGTCATTCTGGCATTAAATAATGAGTGGTTTAAAATTACAATAATATAATTTAAATCGCAATATATTTTGGTGCAATATATCAAAAAATAGATGTTGTGACGGTTTAAGTACAGGTAAACAATGCACATAACACTGCAGCGGAGCTATGGTTTCAGACTCAGGGTGAAAGCAATCACTACACTCCAGATGACCTGCAGCCCTCCTAGATCTGTGTGAAAGGAACCAAAATATTGTCAAACCATTCAATGTGATGTCAGTGGTGCACAGTAATCACACAAAATTCCACAAAAATCACTTGTGGATAATAAAACAGTAAAAACTGACTTTGACTATGTCTTCTGTGACAGATCAGGATGTGTATTTAATATAGTAAATACACTGGTTTTTGTATGCAACACTGCTCTTTGGCAATACGTTGTACTGCCTGTAGTAAATGCCTACACTGACTTGATGTAGGGGAAAAGACAATAGTTTTGTGGGTGCACAAAAGCGTTCATTAAACTTTGAACCACTGAAGACACAGAATTTCTTGAAAGTTTGTGTTCCTTTTCTGGACTGTGAATCCCTCTGAATAATTTTGAAATTATTTAACAACAAAATAGCCTGACTTTCATCCTTGCCCCCTTAGAAGAAAGTGTGACAAAGTGACACCTAGGGTAGAAATGGAGGCCTGAAACCACCAAGTGTTTGCAACATACAGGCATCTGCTAAAAAATTTTACACTAAACGACTCAAGTCATTTCAAAGAAATCAAACACCCAAATTAGATGATCCGCAATCACAATTATACAGGAAATGATTAAGTGTCATATCCCAATAAATAAAGGTTCATCATGCAAAGAGAAATTAGGCGGATGTAGCCACAGATAAACAACAAGCTCAGTGATGAGGTGAATGCAAGATGCCACCAGTGGAAAGAAGAGGACAGGGGGAAACAAGAAACCTGTCAAACATGTAAGGAGACACTTGCCCTCTGAATTAATCAGAGACACACAGAGAGAGAGAGAGAAAGAGAGAGATGGAGAGCCTGGTACCCATCGATTGAGTTACACACTAATCCCAACTGTAATTCTAGACATCAACTGGACCATTTTTAACAATTATCCCACCTCAAACCTATTCAGACCAAAGACAGAATCTTTCCTTTCTAGGCCCTAAATCGTATATGACACATGTTTGAAAACTCTTAGAAATTAAAATTATCAGGCTATTAGTTCCTATTAGGGTTAAACATTATATAGTTTCAGCATCTATCCTCACAATATGCACCTCTGCAATGGTCACATGGTAGTATTTGCAGTTTTGAGTCCAGATTATAGTTGACCAGGCACCACAGTCCAGAAGACATGCGATTTGTGGAGTCACTGCAGAGTTTAACAATAGTAGAGTGAAAATTGATCCTCTGCATGAGAATGCGAGTGTAATTTAGGAAGCTTTAAAGCATTTAGGCACAAGAAATTATAACGTAATTAAGTTTAACAAAAATGTATTGCATTTCTTTAAACGATAAAGCTTAAACGGTGTTATTTGGCATTTGATTGTTTAATTCTAGCACCTAAACACTTTTAGACTCCCCTGAAAACCATAAAGCATTTTATTTCACAAATGACAAAATCAGATTTCACACATTTCTTTATACGTTATCAACCACTTCCAGACTTCAAACAGGTACAAATACAATATGGCATTGTTATGGGACATAAGGAAAAAGTACCCTAAAACAATCTATTCAAACTTTCCTGTGTTGTACCAAAACACAAGCACTACAGTCTAAATGACTGTTGCTATAAACATCCCCATTTCATTCACCCGCTTTCCCATTTCACAAGCCATGTAACTAGAGCTGTCATCTTCTATAACAATTGGTAGTGAAATTTTACAAACATCCATTTCCTGCTAACATTTGAGTGCTGTTGATGAACAGGTTTTAAACCACACTGATTGGCCATTGTGTTCACTTGCTCAACAGATATGACAGTGAATGCCCTTGAAGGTCAACAGTTTACCACTCTCCAATGCCGTTCACCTCATGCAAAACAGATACAAAGACTGGAGCTTTTCAAAGCCGTGTTGATGTGTTTAAAATTAATGAGGTTTTTAGAATTTCTTTTTTTTTAACCAAAGTCAATACTTTTGACAACACTACACGTGGCATTGATTAGTTCATTCAGTGGTACTGATGCATTGCATTGAGTGCTCCTGCAAAAGAGATTAAATATGAGAGAAGGGCTCTGATCCAATGCACATTTTGTGGTGGGGGTGATACCCCACTATGCAAACTTCATACATTGAGGTGTGCATAAAACCAAAATCCAAACCACTAGCCACATAAAATAAATGTTTACTAAAAGGCCCTATTTAAAAATTGTGAAAAGATGTACTCTCTCCAGAGAATCAATATGTTGCACACAAGTTAGGCACTATGAATGGTGTGAGAACACACCCATTGAGATTGTGAGAGCAGCATCCTTTGGGTAAAAAGGAGTGAGGTGCGGCTTCAGAATGCATAGACAGCAGCACTGAAACAAAAGTCCCAAAAGAACAAAAACACCACATAAGCCTTAAAGTATTTGAAAACCGCCCTTTTGTTCAACTGATGTCCTCCACAAGGGGTCATATCAGTGGAAGATGTCCCACAAAATACAAGGAAGTGCTAGGAAAAAAACTGACTCATTCTGTGACACAGATTTCCACAGGTTGACTCACTGATCAGATGGGCCTGCATTATGGTCAGTGTGTGTTCCAGATTGAACAGCTAAGAACATTTTCGAGAAACAATAGAGAAAACAGGCCAAAACTGCAAACTTTTTGAACAAATAGATTTTGGATTTTTAAAATCTTCTATAGGATATGTCAGCCCCAAATTAAGCCACATAAATAATACATGAGAACCAAAGAAGTGGAGCAGAAAGGTGAAACAAATAGCTCTCGTTAATGAAGCTGTAATCATAACTGCATGCTAATTTCTGCCCAAAGTAATAAAGCCTTAAACTACATACCACTATAACCACTGGTCTATAAATCCTTGAATAAATAAAAGTCTGATGATAGTGACAGATTTCAGAGACCACATCTTAACATTTAAAAACTTCTGTTCTGCTAAGAGATTTTTCACTCTTTCTCCACCGTGACTCACATTGTACCTCTGTGCAGATACATGTAAGAATAATGCAACAGATGTGATGAGTATTGCAGTGTCTTTTCCCTTGCTGGTTACAACAAACTAAACTAGTCATGCTGAAACTGAAGGCATTTAAGGTTAAGCCCTAGTTTAACAGCCACATTCTTGCTGCCATGTCTTCAGCTTAATAGTCAAAGAGCAGAGTAATGTCACATACTATACTACTTACTTTTTGCTAGTTTATTCTTTTTGATTGTTTTTTTTATAATAAAATCACATATACTTTCTTATCATTTATGAAATAACCATTACACTATACAATTTTTTTTTTATCCGGTATTTCAGGGATGTCAGAACTAAATTCTCAGCATTGTTACTCCAGTCACAACATTCTTCATAAACTATTATATGCTTGAATAGAACATATAAAGCATTAAAATATATATCTGACAACAAACATCTGAACAGCATACATTGTTACTCCTAAGTGCCTCAAATTTCAGCAGATAATTTTCTGTTAACATTTAACATGGCTGCCTTTCACTAAAAACACAAAAATGTTTATTTTGCAACAGGGAGTAGCAGCAAACAACATTCCAGACATTTGAGTATGAAAATAAAGTAAGAGCTTTGCGATCACACAAATTGAGACTCTAAGTTTCTAATAAATGGGTATTGAAAAGAGACAGAAATCCTTGCAAATTCTGGCTAAAAAAAGACAATATGAGTTAGATCAACATCTTCCTTGTAACAGTACTTTGAATTTACTTCATGCTTGAAAATTAAAGTGCAAGTCAAACTTATTAATCATGACCTTTATAATGCTTATCATATTGTGTATATTAAAAAACAGGTTTCAAAACACCAACATGGGATGGATTTTTAACCCATATGCAAGATAAAATGCTCATTAAACATGCAAAACCTTCAAAGGCCTAAATAATCGTGACAACCTGTTTATCAGGCAGACTAGGAAGTGAAAGCACAACAGAAGCTAGAGACAAATCACATGACAACATCTGATCCCATCCACAGTTTCAATGTTGCGACAGACACACAGGCCAATTATAGCGAGAAATGCTTCCTAACTAGAAATCAACACATCAGCCATTCATAATCAGAAGGACTGGGTGGCTGTGTTTGCTTACGAAACACTTTACAACTTAACAGCAGCAGTACAACCACATGAACAAAAACCAGCATCCCACATCCGAGATCAATGTTTTCCCCACTGGACCTGGGTTTTAATGGAGTGAAATTAATTATCACAAGCTATGTTTCCATCCACCTAATTTTATGCTCATTTTAGATACGCAGATTTAAAAAAAATTTAATCGGTTGATGGAATCATGAAGATGTGCATAAATTTTGAAAATGCGCATGAAAATATGTGCATAACAGAGTAGGATAAACTATATTCGATAAGAAGATGCGAATAAACTTCGAATGGAAACACTTTTACTGAACAAATTCCAGTATGCGCATTAAAAAAAAATCATGTGATTTTGTTATAAGAGATCATGTGATAATAAAAATGTGTGTGAATGGACAAACCAGCAGGCTGAGCACATTGCAAAACAGCTAAAATTATGTTTCAGTATTAGTGTTATATTATTAATTACATCCAGAACTGTTAAGATCGTCTGTGCTCCGTGTCGGCATCGTCTTCTGGGGCACAAATTAAATAAGGAAGAGGAATAAGATTCATGCAGCTTCTCCTACCACAGCAAATTGCATTTTTACTGTTAGAACTTGGCACGAATTTATCAGAAAGTGACGATTTTGTTTTCTTGGACCCGTTGGATGGAAATGCTGCATTATTCCCACTTCTTTTATGCAATATTGTAGTTTGGCACATAAATTTAATTAGCATATTCGGATGGAAACATAGCCATTGACAGTGAACTAGCATCACAATCCATTTGATTGACACATTACAGTGGCCACCTGGTGTATGACACCTGCTAGATATGATAAATAAAATGTGTCATTGTTAAAGGAATAGTCCACCTTAAAAATTCTGTTAAACACAAAAGATTTTCAGAAGAATGTTGATAACCCATAGCCACTGATATCAATTGTATTATTTCTTATGCTATCATTTCCAACATCCTTCAGAATATCTGCTTTAGTGATCAACAAATGTAAGAAACACAAATAGCTTTGCAACAAGTGGAAAGCGAGAGAAAATGGCTTAATTTTGATTTATGGATGAACTTTTCCTTTTAAAACAGTACAGGATTTTGAATCCTGTGATGTTTTATTTAATCATGATGCCAAAGACTGGTTCAATCCTGATCACGTTGTGCAAACCCACGTAAGACCGACACGAAGTCTGTTACGAAAAAATAAATAACTATCACCTCAAGCATAGAGACATGATACATCGTTAAACCGACAGACGTCAGCTAATTTGTAAGCATGATTTCATATGAAACGTCAGAAACACGGCCTAACAACCTTTCACCGTCAGAATGTCAGTCAGTGGGATAACATAGTCTATTCATTTTCGGCATCACATATATCTACGCATAAACCAATATAGTAAAATATAGAGCCTAAATATAATGAATGCAGACTCTGCGTTTACAATGAAACGTTCTTCTTGTGTCGGTAGCGACGCCTTGTATTCCGCTAAAGTGCTAAGGGCGCAGGCGAGGTAACCGGATCACTCTGCTGTTTACTAGGCTACTACCCGTTTTACCTTATTCATTCCTGTCTAACTTCACCATTCGCGTAGCCGCATTGAGGCTAAAAAATGAATATTGAGAATATCTGAATATTCGAGAAAACGTAGGCGCGAACGAATTGTGCAGTTCCACATCAGCTAAGCAAACATCCGTTAGCTAGCCTGTTAGCCTCCCTGACTGAAATGATCATTCATAACCGAAATCTCGCTTTCTTTTAGCGACGTGTGAACAAAATGGACTTAAAAATGCCTATACGTGATAAATATCAGAATGACAACGCAAAATGTGTGGTTTTGAAAGTATTTACCTTTTGGTGCAGTTTTCGCTACAATTTTCCGGTTCTCCTCCTCACCGCTAAAAACAAAATGGCGTCTTTCTCTAGACCGAGGACAGTGGCGTCATGGAACCCGCCTTCGCGTAAGGGCCATCCAATCACACGCTTCAAAATCTGTACAAAGCCCCACCCCATTATTGTCGTCGCCCAATGGGTGTGTCGTGGGCGTGAGGGCTGAGGTACGCGTGTACATGCAAAATGAAAGATGACTCGACCTGAATATGTTTAGCTAATGTACGTTATGCTCCTGATGAGAACCTCATGTTTGAACCGCATTTTACCAGATAACCGTGTAATTATGAAGTAAAAGGATAAATGAATTAAAGGCTGTGTTGGAGGAGGACTTTCTAAATATATGACATTAGCTTCTTAGAGGAGTGCATCGACTAACATTAACATGAGGCTCCCCTCTAGCGGCAGAGCCACTACAATGCGTCAGGAGCCCATTATATACAGTGCTCAGCATAATTGAGTACAGCCCATTTTGAAAATTAACGTTTTACTAATTTCTCAGTGAATATATGCAATGTATTTTGGTGCAATTAATCAAAACAGGTTTATTAAACAGATATCTTTATTAAAATAATATTTTAATCATCAAATATAATAAAAAAGTAAAGATAATACTTCAATTCAAGCAAAATATTGCAATAAAAATACAACCTACAAAATTTCAACTGTTATACTTTTTTCATTCTTTTTATTTTTTTAATTTTTGTTTAATATTTTTATATAACATATAACTTTTATATAATATTTGGACCGTTATCGTAAGTTATTGTGTTAGATAAGCTCCAGATTTGGCTTCGGTACTGACTAATCTAATGTATATGCACAGATGTAATACTGTATAACTTCCTATTAAAAATATGTAATTAAAAAATAGATTTGTGATGGGTGTACATATATATGCCGAGCCCTGTATAGCCAGTGAAATGACACGCTAGTTACAGCATAATACAACTGTATGCTTTGTGCCGTTTGAAATGAATTTTAAGATGTTATAATTGCTTAGTTTAAAGTTATAGTTCGCAGAAACAAAATCAATATTGCTTGAAATAAAATGAAATATTCACAAATATTATTTCAGCCAGTCAGGTCAACATTTATTTAGTCAATAGAAAATAGAGGGATATTCATAAACACATAACTAAAAATAACTGATTAAGAAATTACAAAACACACACACACACACACACACACACACACACACACACACACACACACACAAGACAAACTCACTAAATTTAATTATGTTATGTAAATAATATAAAATGCTAAACCAATTCAAAATATTAATGAATATTAGAGCATTACATAAGTGAGGAAAATAACAAACATAACAAATAAAATAGGTTTTAAACAAAATAAAGGCAAAAAACAAGTAACACAAAACCTAAAATTATTTAAACATTAAAAAAGGTATCATACCATTGGCATAAGAAGAAATTTTAGCATGAACTTAATTATTTAATTTATTAATTAAGATTTTATTCTTAATTTGAAGATCAATTCCATTTAAATAACCATGTTCCACTTTAATGGATTGAAACTTAAGATTCTAAGGATGTTAAAATATCTCCATGCAAACATTAATGCCAAATAAGAACTGTTATTTTTGAGAGTGCAGGCATTTTCAGGATGTCTTAAATCAGCACAATGCATGTAAATATGAATAGCAAATCATAAAACCACACTCTCAGAAATAAAGGCAAGCTGTCACTGGTGGTACTTTTTCAAAAGGTACAAATTTGTACCTAAAAGGCTAATATATACTTTTGAGGTACCAATATGGACCCTTTAAGTACAAATGTGTGCCTTTTGAAAAGGTACCACCCCAGTGACAGTTCATACCTTTATTTCTGAGAGTACAGTAGTCCACCAGATGGTGTAATATATTGGATTCAATTAGCTATCGAGTGTGTAGACAAAGTACCGTCCAGTCAGCAGAGGGTGCTAAAGATACAACAAGCCAAGCAATTGCCAGTTTACAGAATATTTGAAAGTTTGATATGAAAGCTGTATACTCTTACATTTTTTAAACTACTTCCATTTATTGGAAAGTTTAGCTTGAACAGATTTCTTTCAGGTCGTGCCAACAGCAGGGTCCTGCAAAACAGGGCTTTTTAAACCTCTGTCTAGTAATATTCCTAAAACATAGACCGTAATACTGAAATGGTCATGCCACTAAAAAGAAAATTGTTGCAGAGCTAAACATTCTCAAAGACTATAACTGACTACATTTAATATCAATGGCAGCGATCTAAATCTGGTAATGAAGGTTTTACTGTCAACAAGATTAATTTTTAATTTAATGAGCAATGAAAAATACATTACATCAGCACAAATGTTTCCTGTGTAATTTTATAACATTAAACAGCTCTAATGTAAGCAAACTGATGTAACAATCCAGCACAAATGAACCAAGACAATTGCTCACAATTCAGGAGCAAAACATGTCTTCTCCATGTTTGGACTGGTCATCACAAGCAGGAAGTGCACCTGACACCTGCACCATTAAGGTGGGTCTTAAACAAAGAAGGTGACATCATAAGGGAAATTTGGAGCCCAGTTGGTCAGTCACTGATGGAGGCGAGAGGAACTGAGATGAAAGATCAGTCATGATTAGCTCATTATATCTTGTGCTCAGTGATGACAACAGCATCAAAGATGCCGATGTGTTGATGCTGAGGAAATGAGAATGAAGCCACAGTTTGTAAACAAGGTGTTGTAATTAAACAAGGGTAAACAGACGCTCATTATCCTTGTACTGAAATCGGGGAAATCCTTCATTGTTTGTTTTATAAAGATAATAATATTAATAGCGAGTGATGATGAGAGTTAAGTCTGAGTCATATTTTGAAGGCACAGAAACGTCCCGTTTTAATATCTCCTCTTTTCATTCCTTTTTTGTTTTAATTATTTTTTTTTTTATAATTTGTATTAGGCTATAATATCTTAGGCCTATATTAAAGTAATATAAAGACTTTATGGTCATTGAAAAAAAAAAACCTAAACGAAGTTACCAATTAATGTTTTTGAAGGAATTACACATGTCCTTTACGATCAGAAAGAAAACAGTTGCCTGAATCAGTCATGAATAAGTGTGAACCAGCAGATACCCTATAGTAAACGCGAGGCATTCAGCAGGTACGCGCACCTGCCAGCCCGCCTGTGGAGAAATAAGAGTAGTTTGCTTGGCAATGGGCGGAGAAAATGACTGATGATCCAATATGTTTGGCGCGCATGCCTCACCCCTCTCGGGACCGCGCCTCCCCAGGGGCTGAAATAAGTTTCTGCCCCTTTAAGAAGTTGCACTGTCCAGCACAGCAGGGATTTCAACACGGACAGATAGCGCAATGAAGAGCAGCGCCGACCCGTCATCATGTGCACCGGGCTTCCGAGGACTGCCTGTCCGCTGCGACTTATTGCCCTCTGCATCCTTCTCTCCCACGCAGCAGCCTATTTCGGGTCAGTAGAAGTTTTCTTTACTCTACATCATGTTAAACTCATAAAAAGCCTCTAAATGCCTCATTGTTATGTTTGACTTGGATTAGAATTATTTTATGTTGTGTCAACAGGTGGGGATCTTTGGTGATGTTGGATAGCCAATGCGTAATTACGCACATAATGTTTTTAAAGTTTAACATGTTTAAAACCTACATTGCAGGTCGCCTGTTTTAAATAATCAGATAAAGAACAAAATCATAATTTGATGAATGTTGCAAAATTGATGTATAGGATATACTTATATACATTTTTATTTATAAACTTTAAGAAAACTTCAACCTTTGGTTTGCTCTCAAAAGTAACAGTAACATTATATTTCATTTTATTCATGTTTATATATTTTAACTTTCTTTCATTTTGTAAATATATTTTAGCCATGTTTTTTTTTTTTTTTCTTTTCAAATTATTGCCGTTAAGTGTAGCGCAGTGTATATGGATCCAGATGTCTTCGATGGTTTGGCACCGCGTCGTTCCCCGCGCTCTACCTGATCATTAAGATCTTTCTGGCTTAGGCTCACAGGATGTTGCCCCACTGGTGTTTATATTAAGAATCCCATAAACACCTAAAAACTCTTTACAACAGGCTTTATTTAAGAGCGCTAATTGAAGTTTGTTGCGCGCCACAGTAAAGCCAGAGCGCTTCGTGAAAGACTGGGGAAAAGAACAAGTGCAGTTTTGTGCATGCTTTATTCAAACACGACTATTCAAATTATTTAAACATTATTCAAAGCACGTGTGGCAACAAAGTGCATTCTGAAAAGGTTATATATTTTAAAATACCTACAGCAAAACTGGTGTCAAAGTTTAACCTATGAAAATTAAATAAATATTACCAAGTTACTTAAAGTAATTTGATAACATAATATTAACACCATTTTAAAGAAATTTGTGGAAACTAAACGCGTGGTTTGTGTATATAAACTAAACAAAATGAAGCAGCTGAAAAATATATCTGTAATTATTGTGTTTTCGTTAGGCTTACAGGTCGCGAGCCTCTGGTTTTTCTGCCGGGTCCATTTGCCAACGAGCCTACAAACGGTAAAGCGCACCTGAAGCAATGCGAGCAGATGACTCTGACGCGCCGGCAAAAGCGCCTGTGCCGTCGGGAACCAGGGCTGGCAGAGACTCTGCGAGAATCTGTCCGCCTCAGCCTCCTCGAGTGCCGCTACCAGTTCCGCAACGAGCGCTGGAATTGTAGTATGGATGGCCGTGGAAGTCTTTTAAAGCGAGGTAAGAAAAGACCCTCTAGGTGTTTTTTTTACATTTATTCGCACATACGAAAATTGTGATTCTTTTGTAGCTAAAATATAGACAGACTATTTACGTGTTCTATTTACGTGCTAAACATTTTAATTTAGGATGAGATATGGTTCATTCATTATTAGGCTAGACTATTAATCAACTATCAGCCTTGCAGCTCAAGGTCAAGAAACTAAAAGCTGATTATACAGCATTTCTTAAATTTAATCATAAACGTTTTAAATTAAATTATATGACCACTAAAATTATATATAGGTAATAATATCTCTATATAACCTACCCTACTAGTTTTTATAGAACTAAAGGGCTCAGGGCATGAAAAAGAGGAAGAGGAAAAGAGTAGCCTAGGTAGGCTAAAAAATATTTGTTGAAACGTTAGCAAAATATATATATAACACCTTATTAAAACGGTTATGACCTTTTCATTTTTTTACATCTATGTTAATGAGGGACTAAAATGGAATGACCAAATATTCCGTTTAAAACCCACAAAACACAATTTCACAATTTACAGTTTGTTATAGGCTACCCTTAAATTAGCCAGAGCTATTATATGTCAGAAAAGGAAATGTTTTAGTATTAACAACTATTTAGAAACCTCCATGTGGTGCCTGCTTTCCAAACGGACATGTGCGTAATGTGCAGGATGTGAATGTGAAAGCCATGCGTAGGTCAGTCCGCTGGTAATTAGGGACTTGGGAAGCGCGGAATCCCTGTGCGGTGAGGCCTCGCGGGGCCAGTTGAAGTATTTTTATCTCGCGGAAAAGCGCCCAGTTCTCAGAGGAAAAGGGTGGCGTGATCGTGATCGCGCACTTTCATCTGACAGAAAACTTAGTCAAAATAATAATTAATTGGAACAAAATACAAGCCTTGTCCCTGCTCTGATCTAAGCAAACAACAATACGAATAGGTCGCACGGGGGTAGGGGATTATGGCAAAAGTATCAGGATAAAACTCCACTTAAAACTAAACTGGAAAAGATCACAATATAGGATTTAGTATGAGGAAATATAAGAAAAACACATTAGGGGAAACAAGATAATGGAGGCTTTTTCTTTTAATAATTGCAAAAAAGTACTTGAAGTAAGTTGTAAAGAATAAGCAGAAATGTACTTTTACATTAAAAACGAGCAATTAAAAAAATTAGAAACTTTTGTATCCTTTTCGGCGATGCGGTGGTGTAGTAGCTAAAGCTGTCGCCTCACAGCAAGAAGGTCGCTGGTTCAAGCCTCAGCTGGACTTGGCATATCTGTGTGCAGTTTGCATGTTCCCCCCGCATTTGCTCCGGTTTTCCCCACGGGCCAAAGACATGCGGTACAGGTGAATTGATAAGCTAAATTGTCTGTAGTGTATGAGTGTGAATAAGAGTGTATGGATGTTTCCCAGAGATTGGTTGCAGCTGGAAGGGCATCCGCTGTGACGACCCCAGATTAATAAAGAGACTAAGCCAAAAGCAAAATTAATGAATGAATAAACAAATAAATGTACCCTTTTCCACTTGTCATGTTGATTTAAATGATGACTTTTTAAAAGTAGTTAATGTTAAGCACTTACAGTATCTGTGTTGAAAAGTTTTCAATCTCTTATTTATGTATAAATAATGTGAAAAAAAAAGCAGTACACTGTGATGCACAGTGCTCATTCATGAATTGATCCCCTCATCAGGTTTTAAAGAGACGGCCTTCCTGCTTGCGGTGTCATCTGCAGCATTGTCTCACGCGCTTGCCAAAGCGTGCAGCTCTGGGCGCATGGAGCGCTGCACCTGTGATGATTCCCCTGGCCTGCAGCACCGTGAGGCCTGGCAGTGGGGAGTATGTGGGGACAATCTGAAATACAGCACCAAGTTCCTCAAGAAGTTTTTGGGGCAAAAGAGGGTCAGCAAGGACCTGCGCGCCCAGATTGACGCACATAACATAAATGTTGGAATCCGGGTAAGTTGCAATATATTCAAGTTGAAACTAACACCATAGTGTACTCTTAAAGTAAAAGTGGATTATATAGTGATGCCACGGAAGGATGTTTTTTTCTTAGGGTCAATTCACAATTCAGCAGACACTTATCAATGACAGCAGACACTTCTTCAGGTTTTGCTGGACCCTGTTTGCTCTGTAGCCACTGGTCAAGACTTTTTTCAAACTGTCTTTGTCGGGTAGTGATTTATCTGAGATTTGATGTACAGTAATTTTGAAATTGTTTGTGTTGGTGCCGAGTGAAGTGACCATTAGGGTAAAGGTCATTTAAAAAAATCTAACAAAAAAAAAAAAAACCTTTTACATTATAAATAAACTTTTTTAGCATGGAAAAGGTTGTACATAGAACCATAAAATCTTTTTTTTCTTACAACATTCAAAAAAGGCTTAAAGCTTGCAGACTTGAATATCTGTAAGGGTTAACTTCTCCTGCGGTCTTCTGGTACATTGTAGCCCAAAGGAGCGTTCAGTGAGTGGGGTGAGGCAGGTAAGTGAGCAGGCATTGGCCAGCACACTGGAGCCAGGTGTTCCTTTCCCTGGTCCAGGCAAGACAGCGCTTGCTGTGGGGGCCCTTTTCAAAATTAGAGGTCTCCCATGAGGGCGATTATACAGAGAAGAGGCCTCTGTAATATATGAGCATTTTTTCCACCTACTGTATGCCTGCTGCTCTACCAGTCTCACTGCTGCCGCCACCGTCGCCGCTGTTGCTCTTCCAGACTTTCATAAATCCTCATAACATCCCTCAAAACAGTCCTGTTACCAGGAAACTAGCAGCCTCAGGGAAAGACAGAGAGAACGAAACAGGGGGAGGGTTTACGAGGTTCACAGAAAAAGTAAGAAAAGAACGGCTGGACAAACTCGGATCTTATCTTATCAGTCTCCGGTTTTGTTGTTTCCCACAGTTGACACCTCAGGCCACAGATGGCGGTTAACAAAAACAAGCAAAGGTGGCTGAGGTCTTGTTATCCCTCCCCTTTCAGATTCTCTCCGTTTCCTCGCTTCTGCTTCTCTGCATCTCTCAGGTGGCCCTGGGGTAGGAGCTCATACCTATGTTGGGTGGAACACCCCCATCGACCATTTGACCTCCCCATCTACCCCTTGGGCCTTTTTCGATAAACTTATCTGCTCTATAGCCTCCTCACTAATATGTGAAATTAGAAACAGAGAAACAAACTCTCCAAACAAGGAGAAACAGATCAGTAATCAAGATGTACAAAATGTGGTTTGGTTCTCAAAGATAAAGCACTTTGAAATTGAAAGGCAACAGACCAAAAATAGAAAATTAAACAAGTTGATCTGAGCATAGATCAGCAATGGTGGCCCTCAAGAGGTGCAGGTCAGAGTTGAAAGACCGCCAACTAAGGCATTCCCCCTGCGTCCATCATCTACACCACGTCAACTCAAGGATTTCAGCTTGAGGCTATGAAGTCCCAGAATATGCATTTAGATACTTCTGAGCAACTTATTAAGATAAGCAGCTGTTCCATTTTGGCAGACTTCTGTGTTCATCTCCGTTCTCAAAAATAGTAGTTTTTAGACAGTTCTCAGACTTTTGCAGTCCATGGTCTCAAAACTGACATGTGACTAATAGCGAATTGATGGAAACTAACTAACTGACTGACTAACTAAATACATTAAAAAAAAAAAAAAAAAGCTTCATAGGCTTTATTTTTCTCTATACACTCACTTTAATTTGATGACCTCCTTTAGGCATCTTTGTGACTATAAGCAATTTTTCAAGCACCTGATCATTGGTACGGATAGGGTCAGTAGAACAAGTTGACATGTGCTTGCAAAAAAAATTATAGTCAGTCTGACTGAGGATCAAAATAAATTTATAGCAGACTTTAACTTAGATAACAAATATTATAATAACTGTTCACATGTAGACGCAAAGTGACTTATATAGTCAACTGAATGCTAGATGTTTAGGTCTAAATAAATAGACCACATATAGACTTGTTTTTCACAAGAGCATTGTGTTGTATTCGGTAATGTTCATGCTTACAATTTTGTTATTGTGCTTACTTTCAGGCCGTGAAAAGTGGACTTAAGACTACTTGTAAGTGTCATGGTGTTTCCGGTTCATGTGCTGTAAGGACGTGCTGGAAGCAGCTCTCCCCGTTTCAAGACACAGGTCATCTGTTGAAGTACCGCTATGACACAGCTGTCAGAGTGCACAGCGTTACCAACTCTGCCACGGGGGAAACAGAACTGGCGGGCCCTCGCCGCCACAGCATCACGCTTCCCCGACCCCGTCCCACTGAACTGGTGTTTCTGGAGGAGTCGCCCAGCTTCTGCAGGCCATCCCGCTACTCGCCTGGGACTGCAGGCAGACCGTGCTCCAAGGACACCAGCTGCAGCAGCCTGTGCTGTGGACGGGGCTACAACACTGCCCTTCGCCTCACCACCCTCTCCTGCCACTGTCAGGTCCGCTGGTGCTGTCACGTTGAATGTCAAACCTGTCTCAGAGAGGAGGAGGTCTATACGTGCAAGAAACACTGATTAACCTTGCAAGACACAGAGTGAGAGGGGAAGTAAACAGAGGCAAATGAGTGGGACATGGGGAGTGCTGAGAATTGTGTATGCATCTACTAGTCAGCTAGAAGAATTTGGAAGGGTTTGGAGGTTGTTGAGGATGATTTGCCAGCCTAACCTGATTTAGATGAGATGGCTTAATGGTCGAGTGTCACTTTCTGAAACTCTAGGCTCCTACATGGAGCAGATGCTTGACGGGAGACCATGTTCATTTAGTTTGAGCAATCAGTGCTTGAACAAGCTGCTTATCTATGTCCCTCCTTCAACGTCTACCAGCCACGAAAGTCCTATGTGGTGCTTGGGCCAAGACCCAGGCCTCGAATCTCCAACATAGACAGCAAAACAAATATGTATACCTCCTCCTTCTCATATGAAGGAGTATATGAAACTCGTGCAACAAGTATGAGCGAACTTGGACATGGGGCCAAGAGCATGCTTGAGATTCTTTCATGCGGTCAAAGAAAGAAATAGGACATTTCTTATGTATATTTCCCAGCTTCTCAAAAGAGGTGCAAGTTTGAACCGGAACACATTATCGATTTTTACCAACCTCATGATGAAGGCTGACTTTTGAACTGTTTTTATTGAATGCACACCCCTATGGCAATGGATTAGCAGGCTGCAATGTTTAACTATACCGAAAGTAATGTTCTGAAAGTGAGCACTTTTTTAATGCTTGCTTGCATTTCTCTACCTGCCTATACTGTATATCTCTCTATTGCTCTGAGAGTCCACATATGGCTTCAAAATATACTGAAAGTATGAAGCACTTAATGCATTTATTTGTGAATAGTCTTATATTTGTGAGGAAGAAAGTACTTGCATCTTTTATTGTATTCAAAGGTATCATGCTTAACATAGGTATATTAAAAATGTGGTTTAGAGGAGGGGAGGTATGCTGATAAACTGGAAATCTACTGGGACACAGTGTGCTTTTATAGACTTCTAATGAATGTTAGAGCAAGTTATATAATCTAAATGTTATGTTTATATCTTTAATGGCCATTAAATGGCTGTATGTGATAATAGATAGGAACGTATTTATTGCAATTAGACAAAACTGATCAAATGCTGGATCAATTTCAAGTACACTAGCTGGTGCATTCCAAACTGCATTCATATATTATACTTTTTTTTAGTTTCATTTGCCACGATCCTGCATGATATACCACTTTATATGCAGGAGTTTTCAAAAGCACAAGCATTAGGAATCATTACAGCATGACCCTAACATAACCTCTTTCTACAGCTGTGTATAGTATGTGCAAACATCTGGGCGTCTGAGTGTGTAGACTCTATTCTTTACTTTTCTATCAAGGCAAACGAGAGGGAATATGTCGCATCCAGAACAAAGGAAAACATCTCCTTTCCTAGTCACAAAGGCTCTCTGCCCTATAAAGTCTTTCATGTGTGTGAAGCCTTTGATAAAGTCTGTTCCAGTCCCTTATTAGCCCATTACCAATCAGAGAAAATAACAGTGCTTTTTTGCCAGGATGTGCCAGAGCTGAAAGTTTGCTGAATGCCTAAATGAATGCCTTTGTTTCAGACACTGTCTTAATCTTTTGTAAAAACAACAAAATATATTATTATTATTTTTATTATGATTGTTTCTCAAATACATTTTATTTTGTTTAATTGGTCAGTTTTTTTTTGCGTCTTTGTTATTTATTTCGTTGATTTTTTTTGTAGTTTTCTGTTTAATCTTTGTTTTGTTTGTTTTGTAGTTTTGAGTAGTTGTTTGTTTGTTTGTTTGTAGTACATAGCTTATTTATTTGATGATTTTTTTACTTAGTTCTTGTTTTGTTTGTTTTGTAGTCCATAGTTTTTTGTTTGTTGTTTTCAACTTATTGTTTTGTAGTCTGTTGTTTTTGTTTGTTGTTTTCAACTAGTTCTTGTCTTGCTTGTTTGGGAGTCCAGTTTGTTTGTTTGTTGTTTTCAACTTAGTTCTTATTTTGTTTGTTTAACAGTCTTTATTTTTTGTTTGTTTGTTGTTTTAAACTTAATTCTTGTTTTGTTCGTTTTGTAGGCCATAGTTCTTTTGTTTGTTGTTTTAACTTAGTTCTTGTTTAGTTTGTTTTATAGTCCAGTTTTTTTGTTTGTTGTTTTAACTTAGTTCTTATTTTGTTTGTTTTATAGTCCAGTTTTTTTGTTTGTTGTTTTCAACTTAGTTCTTGTTTTGTTTGTTTGTTGTTTAACTTAGTTCCTGTTTTGTTTGTTTTATAGTTCAGTTTTTTTGTTTGTTGTTTTCAACTTAGTTCTTGTTTTGTTTGTTTGTTGTTTAACTTAGTTCCTGTTTTGTTTGTTTTATAGTTCAGTTTTTTTGTTTGTTGTTTTCAACTTAGTACTTGTTTTGTTTGTTTGTTGTTTTCAACTTAGTTCTTGTTTTGTTTGTTTTATAGTCCAGTTTGTTTGTTTGTTGTTTTCAACTAAGTTCTTGTTTTGTTTGCTTGTTGTTTTTAACTTAGTTCTTGTTTTGTAGTCCAGTTTGTTTGTTGTTTTCAACTTAGTTTTTGTTTTGTAGTCCATAGGTTTTTTGATTGTTGTGTTCAACTTAGATCTTGTTTTGTTTGTTTTGTAATCCATAGTTTTTTTTTTGTTTGTTGATTTAAATTTAGTTATTGTTTTGCAGTCCAGTTATTTGTTTGTTGTTTTCAACTGAGTTCTTGTTTTATTTTGCAGTTCCTACATTTGATTTGCTTTGTTTTTCAATTAATTATATAATTAAAAAAAGACCAAACGTAAATGAAAATAATACAGCTTAGTATAAATAATCAGCTTAGTATAAGTTCATTAAGGGCACATTTTAACTTGAAACAACAAGTATTACATCATTTTTTTCTGTAAAAAAACATGCATTTCTATACTTATCAACTAAAATACAAATGTAAAGTTTTAGAATGTGAGTGTGTACGTGCCTACTTGTTCATGTGTGTGCTTCTCTCTCTGTGTGTGGTGTTTCTGGGAAGGAAGAAAACTGCAGTAAAATTGGCCACATCAATCAAGTGGAAGAAAGTCCAAGCATTCAGTGACATGCCATTCAGCTGAAGCATTTATAATGTGTAAAACGTTTGGTGCAAGAGGGTTTCATTCCGTCTAACTGAAACTCTTTCATCTGTAATCAATTCAGTTTCTACAAAAGAGATTTTAGCTAAATAAAAAGAGTTCGGTCACTGAGTTAGCACATGCAAATATCCAAAACCCAAACGGGGGCTATGAAAAAAACAAATGAGATCCTTCCCTACATCTGAGTGTGCGATATACAAGTGAATATGATTGTATTTTGCCTGTGTTTCTTTGCTGCAGTTGTTGAAATAGTAACATTTATAGCATAGACACCCACAATGAACCCTCTTTCAACCTGCAGGGTTATGTGTTTGTTTGTGTTGTCATAGCTTTAACAGTGTAATGTTTCACTTTGCGATTTCATGCCTGGGATTTTTTCTACTACCTCACCCGGTCAATTATGGATGTTAAGATGTGTTTTTAATTCTCTTACTAGATATTTAAGACAATGCTTTTTCTTTTAAAAGCTTTACCCAGAAATACAGATGCATTTACGCTTTTTATTGTACTTTTGTGACCTATTTTCCTATTTAAGAACCAATTTATCATATTCAAATAAAATACTACCTTTTTAAAAATATATGTTTGTGAAAAGGATTGACTATAAAAGTGCTGATTTCTCTCTCTTTCTCTTTCTGTGTTTGTGGTGGCACACCTGTCCCGGCTCTGCACGCGAGCACCTGCTCTCTAGTTAAATCAAAGCTAATCATGGAGCTGACGGATGCTGACCTGCAGTATTTTCCTGTCACTGCTCTAAACCTGAGCCTCATTCTCATTTCACTCACCCAAAACATATACAAATAGTTGACCTTGCGCATGATTACGTACCATGCCACATGTGCAAACACACAAAGCCTAAATAATGGACACTGTGAAACTGGCATGATCTATAGTTCAGCTTCTTTCATATTACTGCAGCTTTTCAGGTATCAAGCTGCTTTATGAAACCTAGATAGATTTGAAATGGATTTGCATAATGCCAGTCTATATTGGACCTTAAACAATGTAGTTGTAGCTGAAGAAAGAAGTTACAGTGCTTAGCATAATTGACTACAGCCCATTTTGAAGATTAATGTGTTTATCCATTTCTCAGGGAATATAGGCAATGTATTTTGTTGCATTTAAACAAACAAAATTATTAAACATTTATATATATATTTATTACAATAATATTTTAGTCACCAAACATATTTAGAAATTCAAAGATTATACAATTAAATTCAAGCAAGATATTGCAAAAATTAAAACCTACAAAATTTCAACAAAGTTTTTCAATTTTTTTGCTTTTCTTGATATTTCCTTTTTTTTAAATTTGTCATTTATCATAAGTTATTTTTTTAGATAAGCACCAGATTTGGCTTTAGTACTGACTAATCTAATGTATATGCACAAATATAATATTGTACAGCTTACTATTAAAAATATGCATTTAAGGAATACATTTGAGGGGTGTAGTTATAGCTGTCCTGTCAGCTTTAGATGTTAAGAAGATGGTGTTTTTTTTTTTTTTTTGTGCTGTAAACGTAAATACATTTTGCATGCACTTCAAAAGTATAAGGAAATTCAGATACGATAATGGAATTTTGTTTTCGACAAGCTAAGCCATAGACCAGTCACAATAAACTGAACCATCTGACCAATCAGAGCGGAGTAGAACCAAAAAAGGAGGAGTTTAGAAAGATCTAGATATTATGATGCTGCAATATGAGATATTTATTTTACTTTGAATGCATTTGAATCTATTGTAGGAGATCTCCAAAACAAAATATCTATTTAAAATCTCATTTTCAATCTTGGAACACCAGATTCATTCTACTGAAGTTGTTTGGGTCATTTAGATTATTCACCTATAAGAGCAAATTCACAAATAGATTCATCATTTTACCTGCAAAAGGTTGGATGTTTTCACACTGGGCTTGCAAGGTTTGGCCGTCTGTTGATATATCTGGAGAAAAAAGCAAATGAATAAAAAAAGTAAAAGAAATAAATAATTTTATTAAATGTATTAATTTATTAGATTTGTTAAATATTTATAAAAATACAATTAAATAAAAATTTGATTAAATGAATTGCAATGTGAGTAACAAGAAAATAAAATAATATATAAAAGAAAATAAATAATAATAAAAAATAATAAAAGAAAATATTCATGTTAGTTTAAAACTAAATATTGTACAAATAATATTTTAGACTAATTCATAACATACATTTTTCACAGTATAATTGAATCTTTAAACAAGAAAATATGGATGCCTTTTACATTTTGAGATGGGGGTTCCTCGCACAAGGATGATGATATTTAGGACCTTGTGACACAATGGTAGTGCGTTTGACTTTTCAAATCATGTCCGGCTCACAGGAGTTGAGCTTAGCAATCGTTTGTAAAGTTGTGGAAGGCAAAATGGCGTGGCCTTATGGTTAGAGAGTTGTACTTGGGATCCAAAGGTTTCAGGTTAGAATTCTAGTACCATCAGAGATTACTGATGAAGAGAGTGTATATTTACCTCATAGCTGAGATGACTATTTTGAGCAAGGCATCAAACCCCCAACTGCTCCAGATGTGGGTTCATGGGATCTAGTTGCTTTAGATAAAAGTGTCTGCCAAATAAATTAATGTAAATGTATTTAGGGATCTGTGAGGTACCTAAAGGACTGAAAATGTTTTCCTCATTAAGAACCCTTTGAATACACTCAAACACATGGTTTGCTGT